AGAGTGTCAAGGGGGTAGGGAAGGCTTTAGGAACAAATTGAGGGAGTTTGGACAATTGGTCTGCAAGTTTTCACAAGAGTTCAACAACAGTTGAACAACGTTCAATCAAGGAAATTGAGGGGTATTTATAGGAAATGGGGGCTAAGTTTAAGCTCATGAAAGGTTATGGGGACCAAATATTTGTACTAGAATGACATAGCATGGTCAATCTTGAATGCAATGGGATTTGGACATTGAAGTAGGCATTAAATCATTATGGAAAAAGAACATTTCATTCTTAAAATCACTAATTGCTTGTACATCACATTGGGGTTTTTGAGACTAGGGTTTTATGATTTCAAGAGAGGCGTTAAGTCATTCTTATTCCTAATTGATTGCTAATTTCTTCATGAAAACGTTATCACAAATTTTGATTTATTAAACTAAAAACTCATAGGATATTTAAATATTTTGGTATATAATTATTTAAAAAAAAATTAAACATCTATTTTCAAAATGTTTTTAGTTTGAATAGAAAGTATGGCTTTGAGTTAGTGTTTAACTTGACACATTAAAATTTACCAACTATCCTCATGAGAAAGATCTTGTACTTAAATACATTATATTACTTGGTCAGCACATGCACTTTAATTTGCCCGACACCTTCACTGTGAGATTAACTGTGAGATTTTAGAATTTGAAGTTTAACATTAGAGAACAAATATTTTTTCTAATTCAAAATATATTTTATTTAGTATTGTATTATGACTTCCATTTTTTTTTCACGAGTATATTCTACCATAAGTGAGTAGTTGCGGAAAGCTAAAGGTAGTGATTTGATGGTATCAACCTATTATCAACACCTTCAATTTGTGATTTAAATATACCTAAATCTCGTATGCACATTAGTGATAATAAGTAAAAATTTTGATGGTTAAATCAAAGAAATAACTCCAAAAATTCCATGCCTCTTGATTGGAACTCGTGAAATTCAAGAGCGAAATTCAGATATTTTAATATGGACCACACATTTTTGTTGAATTTTTTTTTTTTTTTGAAAAAATATGAGGGTGATGCTCAACTTTATCCGAAAACAAAAAAAACTTCACAAAAATGTAACAAAATACAACATAGATAAAGAAAAGATGCAAAAACTAGAGACAGTCAAGCCACAATTGAGCTCCAAACCGCAACCATCCAAAATCTTTCAAAAAACGATCCACAACCATACGAGAGGCCCTGCAAAAAAGACAAATAAACACAACAAAAACCAAATCAATAATCGAAATCAAATAAAAAAAAAATTAAGGATAAAGAAGAAAGCAACAAACAAATAGATTTGAAAATTTGTTTCCCATGTATTACCTTTTAGTTGAGTTTTAAAAAATTGTAATTTTTTTCTCTCTGATCCAATAGATTTGAAAAATTGTAATTTTTTTTCATCAACTAGACTTGTAGAATGCAAATATAGTCGCTCTTGATCTGAATGAGAATTCAACCAAATTTATCATCTAAATCAATTGCTAGTTGAATCCTTGCAATTACAAATCTAGTCATATTAATGTTTACCATCAATTCCTACGTTCATCTCTGACTTGGAGCATCCTCGTTTAAATAAATAAAGCAAAAGTTGGAACTTTCAACTGAATCCAACCTCTCTGACGCAAGCGATGACAACAGTGTGGAAACTCTTGGAGGACAAGCCAATGAAGCTACAATTAATGACCGGAGCAGTCCTATAAATACCAACGCCTAATTCGCATTTCATCTCACTCTATCTTCAAATCAATCTTGAGAGCTGACAGAGAGAGAAGCAGAAGGAGCAATGGCAGCAGAGAAGGAACTGAAGCTGCTGGGGTTCTGGATCAGCCCTTTCAACATCCGATGCAGGATCGCACTGGCGGAAAAGGAGCTGGAGTACGAGTACAAGGAGGAGAATCTCGCGGAGAAGAGCGAGCTTCTGCTGAAATCAAATCCGGTGCACAAGAAGATCCCCGTGCTGCTCCACCACGGTAAACCTATCTGCGAATCCCTCATCATAGTCCAGTACATTGACGAGGTCTTCCCCAGCAGAGGAAAAGCCCCACTCCTCCCCTCCGATCTTTTTTTTTCACGAGTATATTCTACCATAAGTGAGTAGTTGCGGAAAGCTAAAGGTAGTGATTTGATGGTATCAACCTATTATCAACACCTTCAATTTGTGATTTAAATATACCTAAATCTCGTATGCACATTAGTGATAATAAGTAAAAATTTTGATGGTTAAATCAAAGAAATAACTCCAAAAATTCCATGCCTCTTGATTGGAACTCGTGAAATTCAAGAGCGAAATTCAGATATTTTAATATGGACCACACATTTTTGTTGAATTTTTTTTTTTTTTTGAAAAAATATGAGGGTGATGCTCAACTTTATCCGAAAACAAAAAAAACTTCACAAAAATGTAACAAAATACAACATAGATAAAGAAAAGATGCAAAAACTAGAGACAGTCAAGCCACAATTGAGCTCCAAACCGCAACCATCCAAAATCTTTCAAAAAACGATCCACAACCATACGAGAGGCCCTGCAAAAAAGACAAATAAACACAACAAAAACCAAATCAATAATCGAAATCAAATAAAAAAAAAATTAAGGATAAAGAAGAAAGCAACAAACAAATAGATTTGAAAATTTGTTTCCCATGTATTACCTTTTGGTTGAGTTTTAAAAAATTGTAATTTTTTTCTCTCTGATCCAATAGATTTGAAAAATTGTAATTTTTTTTCATCAACTAGACTTGTAGAATGCAAATATAGTCGCTCTTGATCTGAATGAGAATTCAACCAAATTTATCATCTAAATCAATTGCTAGTTGAATCCTTGCAATTACAAATCTAGTCATATTAATGTTTACCATCAATTCCTACGTTCATCTCTGACTTGGAGCATCCTCGTTTAAATAAATAAAGCAAAAGTTGGAACTTTCAACTGAATCCAACCTCTCTGACGCAAGCGATGACAACAGTGTGGAAACTCTTGGAGGACAAGCCAATGAAGCTACAATTAATGACCGGAGCAGTCCTATAAATACCAACGCCTAATTCGCATTTCATCTCACTCTATCTTCAAATCAATCTTGAGAGCTGACAGAGAGAGAAGCAGAAGGAGCAATGGCAGCAGAGAAGGAACTGAAGCTGCTGGGTTTCTGGATCAGCCCTTTCAACATCCGATGCAGGATCGCACTGGCGGAAAAGGAGCTGGAGTACGAGTACAAGGAGGAGAATCTCGCGGAGAAGAGCGAGCTTCTGCTGAAATCAAATCCGGTGCACAAGAAGATCCCCGTGCTGCTCCACCACGGTAAACCTATCTGCGAATCCCTCATCATAGTCCAGTACATTGACGAGGTCTTCCCCAGCAGAGGAAAAGCCCCACTCCTCCCCTCCGATCCCTACGCCCGCGCCCTTGCCCGCTTCTGGGCTGACTTCATTGACAAAAAGGTAATAAATCATAAATGGTGGCCTACTCCAATCCCTATTCCCTATCATATCGTCTCTCTGGCTTAAACAGACATTTTATCAAACACTTTGTGTTCTGCTTTGGCTTACCAGACCTTCGATTGTGATGCCCCAAGCTTGCAGCATGGGGGAAGCGCTGCCTGAAGCGGGAGAGTGTCGCCCAGTCTCTCCCGGATCCTAAGAAGGTGTCGGAGTTTATAAGCTCACGAAGAAAGAAGCTTGGCGTCGAATAGAATACGATATGTGTGGGATTGAGATGAGCTTCACTGATCTGAATAAGTGTGTTGCCGGCCGGCGGCTGATTCCGGCCAGTTGCCAGTTTAGAGTTGTATCTTGATTGAGAGTGATAGTATCCAAATAATGCTATTTGTGATGGCTTCTTACATTTGATGATGAATAATTGTTATGATTTATGTTGCTTTGATACTTGGCAAGACTGATGGTTACTATCGAGAGCAATTAAAGTCGTGGCAGCATGTGATATTCAATTCAATTCTTACCCAACTTGTCAATTTATTTAGCTCCTAAGAAAAAGGTTTTCCACATCCCAAAGTCAAGTCTTTGAGTTTGATTATTCTTTGTTGGGGGTATTCACATACGTACCACCCAATTGTATTTAAGCATCTAGCCCCTAAATGTTAATTATTTTCTTTAAAGTTTATGTTAACTAAATATTTCGTATCACAACAAAAATATCAATATTTTAACTTTTAAAAAGTTAAATGTACATTTTTTTCATTATAGATAAGGTGGCATATATGTATAAATTAAGATGAAGTTTCTCTTTTTCATCGTCTATCTCATGAAGGGACTCCCATAATTGTAAGTTTGGTTTAGCCTCAAGAAGAGTTACATAAGTTAAACAAAAAAAAAAAATTGTTGTGGGAAAAACTCTTTCTTTCCTCAATCTTGACAAGAGAACAAACCACAAATCACAACAAAGAAGATGCAAGCACAAGAACACAAGCAAACAAGAGAATTTACGTGGTTCGATCCTTTGGACCTATATCCACGGGAGGGAATCAACCAAATCCACTAAGATAAAAGAGAAGAATTACAAGACTTCTACACCATTGAGGAATAAGCTCCAGATCTCTCTCTCGACTCACCTCGACCCAAGGTCTCACTGAGCTCCCATCTTGCCACGATCTCTCTCTCGAATAACCTCGACCTTAGATCCCCAAGATTCTCCCCTCAATCCTTAAAGTCTCTCCCTTTCTTCTCTACTTCCTCGTAATTCTCACTCCTTGATTCCTTTCCCCTCAACCCTCCCCTACAAGCCACCCCTTCTATTTATAATAGAAGGGGCCCCCCCTTGTAGACTGGGTCTACCTAGCCTAATAATTGAGATTCATTAGAACAATTCTCCCCTTGACTCTCAATTACAAAACTCCATGATAAAGATTCATTCCACCTGGTCCCGACGGGCCCTTAGCCCTTGCTTGTGTTTGCTAAGTCCAAACACCCTGAACGAATTCCTGCAGTGCCTCACTTCCAAAAATATGGAGTTGTCGTATTCTTCTCTGCAACACTGTGAAGCCTTCCTCTAGGATGTCGCAGAACTCCTTTGCGTAAGCGAACTCCTGCTCCGCCTGTTCTGCGTCACGAACAGAACCGCGCGCCTTCTTTCTCCAAACGGAACTGCGCGCGCCTTCTTCCTCAGGGAACCACACGCCTTCTTCCTTGCCGCCTTGCGAAACCTGGCTGCCTTTCTCGCTCGGGCAAACTGCCCTCTTGAACCTCGAGATCTGCGACCTGCGAACCTGGGGATCCTACTACACAGTTCTTGCCGAATGAGAATCCATTTGGGGGCTGCACTTTCAGTACACAGCATGGTGGGCTTCAATTCCTCACAGTCAAACCCTCCCTCTTCACGCATATCTGCTAACTCTTACGATGGGAAGGCATTGATCGGCCTTTTTGATTCATTTAACGCTGTTAAGAGGCGTCATTATCATGTCCAGGTGGAGCGCTTAGGCTTCTCTGAATGGGGCCAGCTCTTGTCGCGTGGTTTCGAAGCACTGTAGTGTCGAGGTCCTTTCTTCCTCACGATCCCACGCCCAACTCCATGTCGAACTGCTCCTCTGCTCGCCGCCCAACTGCTCCTGCCGAAGGCTCCACTCCCTGCCAAAAAAATGAACTGCCGAAAGCTGTTCTTTTTTCTTTTCTGTTCTCCTTCTGTGTCTTCCCTTTCCCCCGACCATGTGCTTCTGGCGAACACACAGGCGTGCTTCCTAGTGCGATCCTGAGAAGGTCCCGCCTCCCTGCTAGTCTGCGACAGCTTCTGGCCTTGGAACCCCGCGAGGAGCTGCCACGCCTGTTCTGATCTGACGCCTGCTTCTCTTCGTTCGCTTGAATAGTGTCGGCACTATTTTTGGTGTGGGGTTTGCCCGTAAGAAGCTGTCGGCCATCGGAATTGAAATCCCGTTGCCTGCTTCGGAAGGACGTTTAAAAAAATTTAGTTTTGAAAAAGATGAAGTCAAACTGACCCCATAATTTTCCTAGTTTAGATGAAAGAGCGCTTTATCTTAAATCATGTATCTATCCCGAAGGATGAACGCAAGAATTGAGAGTGAGGCTCGATCAAATAAACTAAAGAAAGTTATGACATCCGGTTGGTCTGCGAAACCAATGTATTGGCCGACAAGTTCCCCTAT